TGAGCTATCAAGGAAAAGTGTAGTGGTGGATGTTCAGCCACGTTTGTAGGAAAGCATCAGATGCACAAGCTTCCGGGTCCTGTTTCCAACGGAAGAAATATGGAAGCTGAGAGTTCAAGCAAGACGCAAAAAGATTTATATCCATGGGACCCTAGTATGACCGCAAACGAAAGAAAACAGTACGGTTCGGTCACCAATCGCTGGTATCTCGAAGATGTCTGGAATTCCAATCTGTCACTATATTGGACATGCCCATGATGTATACCGCTTGCAGTAACAAATTGCTAGGTCCACCATTACCATTGATGTAGCGTACCTCTGAAAAGTTGTCCATGTGCAATAGGATGGAGCTGTTAGTCAAAAACCCCTATGAGACTGCGTAGGGCAAACGATCCTGCCAGAATTTGATGTGATGCTTCTTTTCTGCTGGGAACCATTTTCTCCTGTGGAGATAGGTCCGTGTGTCATATTCAACAACGCAGTCCGGTGCTGCACGAAGATTGCCCTGCTGTTCCATGCTTCCATTTTTGTTTCTATGGCAAAGCAGTTTAGCTGAACAAAATCAGAATAATAGTGACCAAAGCGTAAATGTTTGGCCTTTAAGTGCTGATGGGCCCTGTAATGAAGAGGTCCTGGGAAAATTGCTTGCATTGAAGCTGAGAGGAGACCAATCATCCTGGCAAGTTGCTGTGGGATAAGAACAGGACGAAACAAGTTTTGACAAACTTCCTTTTTAATAGGACTGAAGAAGAAAGCCTCCTGTGCACTGAATCTATGTTGAAACACAGAAATTCCATGGACTGGGAAAGAGTGAGAACATACTTGTCCCAATTGACCAGAAAACATACATTTTGAAGCAGGGTCACTGTCCAGGAAAGGTGGTGATGAAGGAGTTAGGAGTCCTGAGTCATAATGAGCATATCGTCCAGATAGATTATCAAGCAGACAGGTATCAGCAATTTGGAGAAAAAGAAAGGGGCTGAGGACAGGCCGAACAGAAAACATGTGAAGTGCCACAGGGTTCCTTTCCACAGAAATTGGAGGAAATATTGGTATTCTTCTTCAGCAATTGGGACAGTAAACTATCCATTCTGCAGGTCGCGTTTGACCATCCAATCTCCTAACAGGAGTATATCCTGGAGCTGAAAACGGAACTTTTGAAATTGCGCCTTCATTGACAATGTCCAGATCTCTGCTGATGCCAGAAAAAAAAAAAGAAATCCTGTTAGGCAAGGAGGTCAGAACTGGATGTTGCACAAAATCGATCTGATAACCTAGGATGGTTTGGAGGACCCAAGCATTTGAAGTTAATATGTGCCATGCATTGTAAAAATGTTACAGTATGCCCCCCACATTTGATAGGGAAGTATGATCGGATAGTAAAGTACTCACCATATGGCCATCGGCCATAGGAGTATTCTCTGGCAACTGGAGATTGCCAAGGTCTGCCCCATACTGAGAAGAACAGTGAAGGCATTTTAGTCCAAGCAGTGTGACTAGTTGGAGCATAGCCTTGATAACCCCAATCTGATCCCTTGGAGAAACGGAAGGGCAGATAGCCCCGCCACACTCTCCTCATATTGGACAGGGCCTTATCCAGTCTTGTAAATGTGCTGACATAATTATCAAAATTGTCTCAGAAGAAAAGGCCTTTTGCCTGTGGCCAGGCTCAGAGATGGATAGGTTACTAGCTTTGGTTCGATCTTAATCAAAATCGCCTAAGCCTTTCAGTAGCCAACACTGTATTGCATTTCCATCCACAGAGGTTCCCTCAGCCAAAGCAATTTCGACCATGTCTAAAATCCTGGCATTTGGTCTCAGATCGTCAAGGATTTTGTCCCAGCAGTGGCAGAGTAAAAAAATCTAGGCCTTTCTTGGCCTTCAACCCTGACTTATCCAGGAACTGGGCAACCTTAAGGTAGATGTCAGTAGTGATGTAAGCCATGGAGAGAAAAACACAAATAAGGGTGCGCCTAAGACAAGTAGAGTGAATGTATAAAAATATGTATCAGAGAGTCCAAGCAGCGATACCTAGAAAGTCCGGATATAAATAATCCACATTTGCAGGAGGTAGTCCTAGTGCTACATAAAATGGTATGCGAAGTCCCAGATGTATATCCGCAGCTTCAAAATGGATATGTGAAGAAAACAGAAGACTAGGGAAACTCCAATGGTATTGTATGAACGGTAAATAATATTGTATATAGAATAGTAGAACTACTCACAATATTCAGAGCTTAAATCCGGCTCTGGTGTAAATGGCACGTAGTGGAATAATCCCCACTCAAGGATATATGGTGCTCCTCTTTTGTTCTTTAGCAGAGTACTTTGGTGGAGTAGTCCAGCTCGAGGTAAAAAAATAAAATATAGTGCTCACTGTATAGTTGATAAAATGTAAAAACAGAATAAAATATACTCACGGTATATAGAGCAGACGTACTGCTCGGTGGATGGCGTATGGGTGGTATAATCCCCACCTTAGGATTCTTGGTACTCCAATATGGACAAAAAGGTAGTAGTGGTCAGGTCTGAATAAAATAAACTTGCAAATAGTAAAATAATAAAATTATACTAAAAGAAAGTAATATAATACTAAGGTGGAAAGAGGAATGTGGCAACCAAATGTATAATAGCCAAATATTCCTTTATTAGCACTTAGATTATATAAAAAGTTCCTATACGCGTTTCACCACAATAGGCTTCATCAAGTAGAAACTTATAAAAAGAGAATAGCAGCTTTATTGGGGAAAAATAGCAACGTTTAAACCCTACCAGGTGTATATCAAGCTTGAAAAGACTTGGTATCGTTGTAACGTTTCCATTTTTGCCCCAATAAAGCTGCTATTTTTTGTTATCCCAGAGTCCCTGAACCGTTATTTATTTTGCATATCTTGGTAGAGAGACCTGACCAGCCCTGGTTTCAGAGCACCTGGGTTACTTGGAGAGTGCGGTATCCAGTATGTCTCTGTCTTTGCATGACCTGGAGGCATTTTGCCAAGCAAAAGGGCAGCTATACCATTTGCAAGAATTAGGGGCCTTATACACAACTATTCAAAATTTATACTTATGGAGACAATACACAGTATTAAGAACTACGGCTATGCAGACTTTTGAACAGGGGTCATTTAATTGTTTTCTTTGTTGTCATGTTTTGTTTTATGATAGTGCCAAACTATTATAACCTACAGTTGAATATGAATCCTAACTTTTTGACCACAACTGTATGCAGAGACTGCTAAATACATATAGAGATCGCTGAAAATACACACAGACCGCTGAATAATCTTTCAAAAAAAAAAATTATTTCAGGAATTGTACCAGAGGATAGGAGGAAGTCACATGTGGTACCTATATTCAAAAGAATATAGAAAATAATAGACCTTTGTGCTTAACTTCGGTGGTTGATAAAGTATGTGAAAGGTTATTAAGGGATCATATTCAAGGAATTTATTGAGTAGAATGTGGTTATCCGAAAAAAATCAGCATGGTTTTATGAAACATAGGTCATGTCAAATTAACTTAATTGCATTCTACGAAGAGGTGAATAGAAGTATAGATCAGTGTGTTGCAGTGGATGTGATCTAGCTGGATTTTACCAAAGCATTTGATACAGTTCCACACAAAAGGTTAGTGTTCAAACTAAAATAAATTGGTCTAGAGATGAAAATTATTGTTCTTCGGTAGAACATTGGCTTAAAAATAGAGTACAGAGAGTTGTCATTAATGATAAACTTTCAAGCTGGACAAAAGTGTTAAGTAGTGTCCCTCATTGTTCTGTTCTGGGACCCCTTCTATTTAACATGTTTATAAATGATCTCGAAGTAAGCATTGAAAGTCATGTTTTTAGTGTTTGCAGATGACACAAAACTCTGTAAAGTAATACAATGTGAGCAAGATATTACTTTGCTGTAGAGGGATTTAGATAGACTGTGGGACTAGGCACTCAAATGGATGATGGAATTTAATGTAGAAAAATGCAAAGTTATGCAGTTTGGGATAAAGAATGCACAAGCAACGTATACCCTAAATGGTAGTGAATTAGGGATAACAACACACTAAAAGGATTTGGGAATTATTGTAAAAAGCAAACTAGGCAACAATGTGCAATGCTAATCAGCAGTGGCCAAGGCCAGTAAGTAGAGTTTAGCGGACACCTGGATGTTTGGGTTCGCCGGGTACGGCTGGACATCGGCAAAAAGTTAGAGTTCAGCCTCGAACTTGACCCCGAACCCCAATGAAGTCAATGGGGACCCGAACTTTTGGGCACTAAATGGCTTTTAAAAAGTCCTGGAAAGGGCTAAAGGGCTGCAAAAGGAAGTAAAATGGGGGTAAGAGTAGGACTAGTGCCCTGCAAACAATCGGTGTAGTCCCCAAACTATTGGGACATATAAAAAAAGAAAACAAAGAATAAGTGCACTTGAGTAAAACAATGGCTGGGTGAGGCCGGTATAAATGTCTATTCTGCACAAGGTACAGACAAGTCTGGTGGGATCCATGCCTGGTTCATTTTAATAAACGTGAGCTTGTCCACGTTGGCTGTGGACAGGCGGCTGCGCTTGTCTGTGATAACGCTCCCTGCCGTGCTAAACACACGTTCAAACAATACACTGGCTGCAGGGCAGGCCAGCACCTCCAATGCATAAAGAGCAAGCTCAGGTCATGTGCCTAATTTGGAGACCCAGAAGTTGAATGGGGCAGACCCATCAGTCAGTACGTGTAGGCGTGTGCACACGTACTGTCCCATCATGTTGCTGAAATGCTGCTTTTCCACATTTCGGTCATGCTAATCCTGCCTTCTGAGGTGCTGGCTGTGCCCCAGCTGCGTTGTCGACCTCTTCTTCCTCCTCTGCCTTTGCCTTGTGCTTCCACTGAGCCCCCAGTGTCAGTTGGGAATGACCTCAGCAACGCGTCTACCAGCGTGCGCTTGTAGTCGCACATCTTCTGATCACGCTCCAGTGAGGGAATTAAGGACAGCACGTTGTCCTTGTAACGGGGATCCAGCAGGGTGGCCACACAGTAATCAGCACAAGTTAGAATGTGGGCAACTCAGCAGTCGTTGCACAGGCACTTTGGTGACTCTAGATAACCTTGGGCCGATCGCACGTCCACGTGACGGCGACGACTCATTCAGAGGTACTTTCTGCACCTGCTATGGTGACCACGGGTAACGGGGTATCAGGGTTCGATTCCGGAGAGGGAGCCTGAGAAACGGCTACCACATCCAAGGAAGGCAGCAGGCATGCAAATTACCTACTCTCGACGCTGGGGGATAGTGACGAAAAATAACAATACAGGACTCTTTTAAGGCCCTGTAATTGGAATAAGTACATTTTAAATCCTTTAACGAGGATCTATTGGTGGGCAAGTCTGGTGCAGAGCGACTGACCTGTGCGTGCTGCAGCTGAAACTCCACTATCACCTGCTGCTCGCACAGTCTCTCCAGCATGTGCAAGGTGGAGTTGCACCTGGTGGACACGTTGCATATGAGGCAGTGAGCGGGAAGGCCGAAGTTACGCTGCAGCGCAGACAGGCGAGCAGCAGGGTGAGAACACCAAAAGCATGCATAGACAGCCCGCACTTTCTGCAGCAGCTCTGATATATCTGGGTAGTTTTTCAGGAATTTCTGCACCACCAAATTCAGCACATGTGCCAGGCAAGAGATGTGCGTCAAACTGGCTAGGCCCAGAGCTGCTACAAGATTTCGCCCATTATCGCACAACACCAGGCCGGGCTTGAGGCTCAGTGGCAACAACCACTCATGGGTCTGTTGTTCCATGCCCGTCCAAAGCTCCTGCGCAGTGTGGGGTTTTCCCCCCAAACATATGAGTTTTAAAACAGCCTGCTGTCGTTTCCCCCTGACTGTGCTGAAGTTGATGGTGAAGGTGTTACGCTGACTGGATGAGGAGGTGGTAGAGGAGGAGGAGTAGCGGAGTAGGAGGAGGAGGTAACAGGAGGCAAAGAGAAATGCCCTGCAATCCTCGGTGGCGGAAGGACATGCGCCAAACTGCTATTCACCTCAGGCCCAAACTAACAGATGGTTTATGTCAGGCGACAATGTAACCGCCAATAATCAACAATTAATTTCACTGACAGCAAGGCAGTGCCGGTGTCCTAAAGAGAAAACATTTCTAGAGGTCACACAACATTGTGACAGACGTAATTAATACAGTTACTTCACGGTCTCAAAAAAGTGTGATTTTTTTTAAACCAACAATGTAAGAGTAGTATTTAAGGGTTTTATTGGACTGCAAGAAATGCACCGCAGGCCGCAAATGTACTATTTAGCACCAAAAAAATTAGAATTTTTCAAAGTGCGATGTAACCACAGTATTTGACGGTTCTATTTGAATCTTAGATATGAAGTGCACGCCCCAAATCTACTTTTTAGCACCAAAAAAAATGTGAATTTGTCAAACTGCAATGTCACAGCAGTATTTAAAAATGCCTAAATGTTGCCCACTGAGCTACCAAAACCAGATTAAAGTAATGTGCCTGGCACACATGCAGTTACAAGTGCCCACCTAACAAACAGACTGACTGAAAATTTCTCTGTGGCACTGGGCTCAGGGCAGGGTACAAAAATGTAGAATCCATAAAAATAATCTCTGTAGTTTGCAGATTCAACACCAGAATTCTTTCCTAATCTGTCCCTCACAGCTGCAGCATCCTCTCCCTACACTAATAAGAGCTCATGTGACTCCAGCTTATACAGAGGCTGGGTCACATGCTGCACTGGCCAATAACAGCCATGCCATTAGCAGGCATGGCTGTGATGGCTTCAAAGGGCACACGAGTCAAATGCTTGTTGATTTGAAAAGCTGCAGGGGAACCAAACGCGACATTAAATCGCCGAACACCGAACTCGAACCCAAACTGTTACTGAAATGTACGGGTTCGGGGTCAAAAAATCGTAATGTTCGGTACAAACCTGAACTTTACAGTTCGGGTTTGCTCATTTCTACCAGTAAGGTATTGTCAAGCGTAGAAACGGGCATTAATTATCGTGATGAGAATATAATTGTGCCTCTTTATGAATCATTGGTAAGACCGTGCTGTGCAATTTTGGGCACCTGTTCTAAAGAAGGATATTATGGCATTCGAAAAAGTTCTTTAAAAAAAAAAAAAAAAAGGAATATAACATTTTAGCTATGCCACATGCAGCAGTAAGAGTTAACGGGGCATTAACAACGGAACCAGGCAGGGATGTCTTCTTCTGTTCGCTATGACCCTGGTACCCCTACTCCATGCAATTCGTCAAAACCCAGACGTCAGCAGCTATCCATGGCATGGAGTAGGACACAGGGTGGCTGCGTACACGGACAAACTCCTCTTCTTTATCTCTAAACCACGGATCACAGTGCCCTGCTTGCTTTCGGAATTTGAGCGTTTCGGTAGGATCTCAGGATTTAAACTTAATTTAACGAAATGCGAGGTGTTAAATGTCACACTCCCGGCGGAGGAATGCACCACCCTAAGCACTATATTCCCATTCCACTGGTGCTCTGGTAAAATGAAATACCTTGGCATATGAGTGACCATTGACCCACGGGACGTTTATCAACATAATTTTGCAACCGTACCGAAGAGGATAGTCGTGGACCTGGATAAATGGGAATATCCGCACGTCACATGGCATGGCCGAATAGCAGTGCTTACGTGCTACCGAGAGTCCTTTATTTTTTTCAGACCATCCCGCTGGTGTTGCCGTCGTCTTTCTTTTCCACATGAAAAACGTCGATCACCCGATACGTCTGGAGAGGGGAGAGATCCAGGTTGCACCACGAGCTGCTATGCATGCCTCGGCATAGTGGAGAACTGGCGTTACAAGACTTACAAGGCGTTACCAAGCCGCAATTTTGCAGCAAATCCTTGAATGGCACACAACCAACTCACAAAAACAACAGGTGACCCTAGATAGAGGGGGCGCTGAGGCGAAATTGAAATCGATGGTGAGGCTGGGAGTACCGGGATGGGGCGGATGCAGGGATAGCGGAGACCCAGTGGCACAAATGTTGAGAACATGGGAGTTGACTAGAGAAATGCCACATGTCTCACCTACTCCTAGCCCCTTACTCTCAATAACACACAATCCCAAAATAGGGAGGGAGGACCTCCCTCAAGTGCCTGGACATTCCTAGGGGAGAGGGAATACATCCCGATACGCAAAGCCCTGCAAGAGGAGTCTTTAATGAGACTGGACTCGTTGCTGGGAGATAGGCCAAGGATGCCCATGATATCTCTCCGGTATTGACACACTATTACAACTCGCTTACCCATAAAGATCGATTGCACAGAGACCTTACATGGTTCGAGGACCTCTGCTTACAGGGTGCCACACTTGACAAGAAAGTCTCAACTCTATATCAACACCTTCTAGTAGGTGTCAACCTAATAAATAACACATTTCAAAGACAATGGGAGAGGCTTCTAGGTAAATCTTTCTCGCCATTGGAAATGGTACTTCTATGGCAGCATAAAAGCTCTTCCAGCTCACACTATCAAGAAGTTAACTACAAAGTGATATCCCTCTGGTATAGGACACGAGTCCTATTACATAGAATCTTACCAACAATCTCCCCTACTTGCTCAAGGTGCCAGGAGGACAAGGGGACACTAATACACCGCTGGTGGGAGTGCCGGGCCATTGCCTCAAACTGGGACAAGATCAAAACGGATGTAAGGACATTCAGGCGGTAAAGACGCTACAGGCTTACCTAACAGGAAGAGGGACCAGACACACGGAGACAAACACTTACACACTCCTTTTTCCTTACGATGTCCTTACTTCGCAGGCCTTATTTCTAAGATAAAAGTGTGGGAAAGCTTAAACCCCACAAACAACATAACGCAACTCATGGTAATGAAGGAAAACAAAGACACAAGTAACTGATAGGAAATGTTATAATACCATAATTGTAATGTATTGGTGAAAAAAAAGAAAAAAAAGAAAAAGAAAACATCAGCAAACATGTAAAATGCAATTAACCTGTCTGGACCTAGATAGGATGTAAAAATGTGCAATATAACTTTGTATGTACTTGTTGAGGCCTGCGTGCCTATCACTATATCTTATTCTACTTCAATAAAAAGAGATTTACAAAAAAAACAAAAACAAATGTCTGTTCAAATGTTTAAACAGCAACTAGATGCATACTAGCAAAAAAAACAACAACATTTAGTGATATAATGTTTAAATTCTAGGGTATTAGCTTCTAGATCCAAGGGTAAATCTGACTGCCATTCTGAGATCAATAAGGATTTTGTTTCCTAGTTTGTTGCAAAATTGGAAGTGCTATAAACTGGTTTTTTTGCCATACGAGGAAGGCTGAAAGTAGCTTGGTTGCTGCTTCTAAGTGCTGCTACGAAGTGTATTTGGAGATATTCTGGAGATCAACTTGAGATAATTTGAGGTACACAGAAGGTGGAAAAAAGAAACTAAATTAAACAAATCTTACTTTTTAATTCATCATCAGTGGAGTTTATCAGTTCAGTGTAATAGCTATTGTGCATTTGTTTCACGTGCCACTTTTTGGAGGTTTGGGTGTTGTCTAATCTGTAGACAGTTCTCCATATTGCGGCAGGCGATTGTAGTTTTGCAGTGTGAGATTTGTAAATCATCTGTTAAACAAACTTAGGCTGGGACTGTTGCAAATCCACTGCTGCAGAGATGCCCTAGGAATGGCAGATGGATTCCTATAGGATCTGGTAGACTTAGAGATGTGGATAAAATGCATACTGCACAGTCTGCGTCTTTACATAATTCATTTTCTGCACTTTCAGACTGTAGTGGTGTTACAGAGAAAGATTCAGTCACCGAGATTGTGGAACCACCATCCTCTATGCCAAAGGTGTGTAAGAGTGCAGCCTATGACAAAAAGGACAAGGTGAGGGCTGATAGAAAGAAGTTGTAGCCAATGGAGTATATTCAAAGGAAGGTCTAGTTACTAGTGGGGTACCTGAGGGAACTGTATTTGGACCCATTGTCTTTAATATTTTTAGTCGTGATATTACATAGACATATAGTTACATAGCTAAAAAGAGACTTGCGTCCATCAAGTTAAGCCTTCCTCACATTTGTTTTTGCTGTTGATCCAAAAGAAGGCAAAAAAAAAAAAACCACACACACAGTTTAAAAGCACTTCCAATTTTGCAACAAACTAGGAAAAAAATTCCTTCTTAACCACAGAATGGCAGATTTATCCTTGGATCAAGCAGCTATTACCCTACATTGAAAAATTATATCCTTGAATGTTCTGTTTGAACGTCTGTATGGACTGTGATAAAACCACTTCTTCAGGCAAATAATGCCACATCCTTATTGTTCTTACAGTGAAAAAAAAAAACATTTCCTTTGCCATAGACGAAATCTTCGTTCGTCCAGTCTAAATACATGACCCCGTGTCCTATGTAAAGTCCGGTTTG